ACTTCTCAACATGTGATTTGAAAAAAGTAAAAGTAAACAGGACGGTCCATTAGATAAAAACACAACTGTCTATAATAATTATGTTAAGCACAATAATACAATTGTCAGTCTATGTATGTAGTCTAATAGATGTCATAAACGTGTTGATTTAATGGTTGCGTGAACAACAACACAGACACGTAGTAAAAATGTTTTGAAACACAACTATAGCAACTGATTTTCACTTCATTGAGTGCATAGTTGCCCAATTAAAATTTTGACCTTCATGCAACCACATGTGACGTACAAATGTGCTTCAATTTTAGACACAAAATTTTTATAAGATAGCAGAGAAAACATAGTATTGTAATTACCAAGATCAATGGCTCATCGAATATGTACTGTTTACATTGAAATAATAAAATCACCTGCAGATTTGATTAAAATCCAGTAAATAATAATATAGCGAGAAAATGCACCAGAAAATCAAAGTCAAAATGTTTGATTGCTGCAGTTGAAGTCAATTTCTTATGGCTGCTGCACACAGTTTGATTCGGCTTCATCATCAACTTCCTCAAGCAATGTTTAAGGCATCAATATAACGCATGTGGTTTGAATTACAAAGAAATAAGTTAATTTTTATGCACGCACAATATATATAAAATTTATTACTGGCATCAGTAAAATAAAATAAAACAGGAAAGTTGAAATAATGAACCTTGCAAAATCTTTGCACACTAGTTGTACAATAATAGATTACATTTCGAACAGGGTTATTTTTGGTAATCCAAAAGGAATAAATTTAACTTCCATGGAACTGTCGGTGATATTGTGAACTTATAAAGAGTGTGGTGCAAAACGTGGTTTTATGTAAACCATCTAAAATTTTCAAAACATCATCTAATTATAGCAAATATAATGCACAAAAATCGGATTAGATAAAGTATTGAATAATCATGATGTCGAGTAAAAAACGTCAATTTTGAGATAAAGTGTTCTTTCCCATGAAGTTAAATTTAAGTAAACATTCTAACCTAGTGGTCGTATCTTTCCATATATAGCTTATCCTCGTCATCATCATCAAGGTTCCTTTATTCGTCCTCACTTCTTTATATCGATAATATTATGAAATTCAATCAGCTTCCAAGCGAATTCTCTGAGGTGTTAAACCAAAATGAAGCATTTCATTGCTGGAGAGCGATAACCACCAACTGTTTTCAAAAGTCCTTCTGGAACTGTGCTGTGGTCATGAAACGGAAAATGCTATTTATGGATCGTGGAAAGTCCGTGAGGGTAAGCAATCGGGGAGGAAGGTTAAAAATTGAAAGTCGAACAATCCTTAAAGAGTATAATGCGGAATATGTAAAACACAGGATAGATAATACAACAACTAAAATATGGAAAGTAATATTTAGTTGAAATATAAATTATTACCGTGACGATGGATTTTCCAGGCGGGAATATTAATCTAATAATGAATTTAAACAGGAACATCATAAAACACATCGACTGGATGGGCTTTCTTTAAGAGGATACCAAGCGTTAACGCTGTATAAAAGCATTTAAAAGAAGAGAATTTCACAAAGACAAAAAGTTATTTGTGACATATTTACACAGCGATGTAAAAACAATGACAGTACAAACAGTACTGACAACAAAGTTTTGTCATCATGAGTAGCCTATGTTTTGTTTCAACTCAATATACGTAAGATGCTATTTTTTCCTCGCGAAAAAGTCGGAACTGATTTCTATCCAGAAAAAATATTGCCTGATTGTGTGTTTACAATTACCTTCATTAATAATGAATAAAAGTGCGCTCGGAAAGCCCGAAACATAGAAAATTTAAATGATAAAACACTTCAGTATTAGCAGTTCAAAGGAATATTGGTGCAAGGAAACTGGTTTGGAGATGTTGTTTGTGTGTATTGGAATCGTTTACGATAACACTTATTTTTCCAAAATTTTAATTATTTTTGGTAAAATTTTGCGACAATGCTAATTGTGTTCATTCTGATGGTTCATTCGTAGTCGTTGCTTACGTTGCATGACCTCAATAAACAGACTGTCATGTGACGATCATTTCCTTCAATGCAATGACAGGAAATTGGTCTGGTACATCGCCCACCGTTATTTTAAACCAAACACATGTCATATGAAAATATTCATGTGAGAGGACTAATGACTAGTGAAAAAATAACTGAGAAATGTGACGTAGTTTCTCACGAAGGTAAATTTACGTCAGTTGTGTCAGTGGTATTAAATAAAGCATTGGATAATTATGACGTCGAGTAAGAAAAACGTTAATTTTGAGGCGAATCTTTCTATAAAGATAACTTTAAATACATTCTAACCCGGTGCTTTTGTCTTTCAATATATGCTTCATCATCACCATCATCAAGGTTTCTATATTGTTTTTCACTTCTTTCTATCATTAATTTTTTCAATATTCAATCAAGCCACAAAATTCTCCAGTGAACTCTACAAGGAAATGAACAAAATAAAACATTTCATTGATGGACGGCAATAACCTCCATGCAAATTTTTTCAAAAATTCTGTCAAACTGTGATCATATGCCATCAGGATTATGAAACCAAAAATGCTATTTCTAAAATATGGAATATCCGTGAACAGATGGAGAAGTTAAAACATGGAAAGTGAAATGATCCTGACGGAGTAAACGTAGAATCTGTAAATCAGAGGATGTCAAAATAATGAACAACTAAAACGTATCTTCGGCAAGTCGATTAAAACCACACTATACTTCGAGGGCAAATTTACCAAGTCAAAAGTCTTCTTGTTCTCGTGTTACATCGACAATACTTGAGAGAGAAATAAATCTTTCGTCCTTAGCTCATTTCTGCTTCATAATTTATGTCATTGTATGGTAACAGAAATCGTCTTTCCCTTGCGTCTGCAACTTTCTTGTCACTAACTTATTTAAACCCGTGATCAACCATTAAAAACTTCGAAATTCCTCGAAATAGTTTCAATCATACTTTTCCCTTATAGCATTGTCACAAACATCTTTAATCATGACCAGATATAAAGTGGTTCATCGGTCACCATATTGGTAGAAAATCTCATGTAGTGAAGTGGAAAGACTTTTCTAGTGATTTCATTCTGTTGAATTAACATGAAAATACTCTATTATTCAGGTACGTATGTAGAAAATAAAATTAAAGTCAATGTTCGCTCTTTTTCAGTGAAAAACCATTAATTTGATTTGAGTGAACTGGATATTCATAAAACGAGACATCAGATATCTATATTATCTTACCTAAAGAAAGGAAACAGCTGTACAAGCTAGCATCATATTGCGTCTTAAAAAAACAAAGTTTATGAATTGAATGCTTCTCTTCTTTGCTCATTTATGGACATATCGTCTGTCTTTGATGATCGATGATTAATTAAGCTTGTGCTAAAGAAACAGGTTGTGGATGAAAACAGCATCGACATGATATTCATACTTTGTATGCAGCTAAAACTAAAAGTTTAATTGTCGTGCTTGTAATAGCAACGTATAAAAGGTCTACGCTATTTGCAATCACCTGTTTAAGCATAGAAATTTGCATTTTAAAATAACCTTTTATAAGTAAACGAAGGGGGATTTACTATAGCTCCGTTTTCCTTTGAATAAGCAAAGACAAAAGGAACCACAAGTTTTGCTTTTGTGCGCATGCATTTTTGCAATTTCAGAGCGGTCTGAACGATAATTTAAGTTTATATTGATGCCAGTTTGAATTCAAACTGTTTTGAACTCAGTCAGATCGGTTCACCAGACTGTACGACTTCAGACAGCTCTGAGTAATTTTTGTACATCTCCCATGTAAACATCTACGATAAATTATACGATAACCTACACGAGCTGAGACCGGTTTGACTTTATTCCGATCTCATGTAAACAGGGCTTAAGTCTCTCGAGCTGTTGTGTAAGGGTAAAGCACGCGATTAGAAATTAACGCAGAATATGGAATGCAGATGATGTTTTTGTCCTCGCGCATGTTGTGCCACACATATCGGCAGCATTATTCCAGTAAGATATTTAGGGTTTTCACTTGTTCTCAACCACTGAAATAACACGACGTCATTTCTTGTATTGAAATATTTTCGAGTTCATTGTGAAGAAATGACGTCATGTGATTGCAGTGAAAATGAAAAACCTAAAGTATTATGCTGGAATGATGGCGGCCGTGAGGACGCGGTACACACTTAAGTAGGCCTTCTGTATAATTTTTATTCTGTGCGTTTAGTTCGTAATAACATGGTTGCTGAGGTTTAATAACTGCATTGAACTCTTCCGTTTTTGCAAATGCCAATATCTTGATCAAACAAGTTTAGTGATTTGAATATAGACAACAAATTGATAATGTTCAAAGCGTATATAAATTGTTCATGGTCGGCGAGGGAGAAAAGGAATGAATGAAGCTACCTAAGTTAGTGATAAGGAGTTGCCGATGCGAGGGAAAGACAATTTCTTTTACAACTTAACGACATATATTGTGGAGCAAAAATGAGATAAATCTTTTAACAAGGAGTTCCACAAATTTTAACAAAAAGGCGAAATAATATACTTCTGTCTGTAATATTGATTGTAATAGTCGAACAATTAAGAGAACAGTTGGCATGGTAAACTTGCGGCCCCTAAAATAGTGTGTTCTCAATCGACTTTAAAGCGGAAAGTATCCTGTAATTAACCTTTTCCATTCACCAGAGTTGAATTTTTTTAGCTGTGGAAAGTTTGCCAGCTTGCGTTTAGAAGTTCATTATTATGGCATAAGAATAATCTGAATTGAGAAAAAAAAACAACAATTGCAAATTCTTCCAAAGTCAATAATGATTTCACCGGAAATCTCGATACGGCAGCTTGAGAAAATACAATTTTTTCAGGCGCTTAAAAAAACCAAAAAAAATTATTAGTATTTGTGGAAGACAAAAGATGACTTTCGTAGGTCTATTGCTTGACCAGACGTTTTCTAAATAGTCAGTTATTGCTTTGCATGCGATGAAAACTTCCAAATGATCTCGTTGGTATATTGGTCGGCCATTGCCAGATCTCGTCTAAATAGTCAATTAAAGTTGCAATAAAATTGCTATTTATTAAATACTTCCTAATGATCATCGGTGTCGGGTTTTAAGAACCGTTTAAAAGGCATTTACTGCTTCAACGTCAAATGTCGATTGTTTTTGCTTATTCTTTTTTTACCATTTTTTTGTTTTTCTTCATTCGCCATCTAAAACGACAACACAAGACAAGAATACAAAACAGAAACAAAATTGCAGCTACTGCACAGAAAATAACAATCTTTATCATTTTTCCTTTAGATTTGTGTGAAGGACCTGGAAAGAATAGAAAATCAATGTGAAAAAGTTTTTCGACTAAATACTTTGATTGAAATGTAAAAACTTAAGTTTTTATATTCATACAAATATTTGCTTTCTTCTTATAAACTTATTCAGCCTATTTTATTTAAGTAGCGACGAAATTGCCAGCATTTGACTACGCTAGAAAAAGAATATTTTCATTATCGACCTGCATGTTATTGCTATATCCCACAATCATCCAATCAAAACAAGGTAACCATTGATTATTCCTTTTATAGTGAAGTATGTTTTAGTCATCGTATCACTTCGTCATTAATACTGCAGCGTATACTAAGTATAATAACTATTTCTCCTATCTAAAATTACCAGATAAATAAATAAAGCATATAATTGTTGAGTGCTTTAGAACAATCGAAGAAAGTCATGAACAACTGTAGGACTTTCTCCACTTTCATGTAATCGCTGTGAAAGTGCAAATACGAAATGAATGTTTATTCACGCAAACTTGCCGAAAACTGGACTTGTTCATCAACTGATGCAAATTGTAATATACGTATATATTTACAGAACATCTTCTTCTGAACTCTTAAGCTTCACATATGGGTCAGAAGAATTAAAGAAAATACGATGTTTCTATCGATATAATTGTTTAACAATAATAATAAAGCAATGTGATGCATGAATGAGAAATGTATGATAACGGATAGTCGCGTGGGTGTAGATAAAAAGCGGGCGCGGACGACGGACGCGGACGGCGGACGCAGACGACGGACGCGGACAGCGGACGCAGATGTAAGACGAACGTCTGTTTGTACGAACGTCTGTTTGTACGAACGTCTGTTTGTTGTGGGCGGGAATTGCAAATGATTTATTGTAGGAGTTTGACAGTAATTTAAACGAGCTTTATCTTTCAGGGTATATTTTTTGACTTCATTATTTAAAGCAATTAAACATGCATATTTCAATTTCAGTCAGTCATATAGAGTGTAACGCAATGAAACCTCATTGTATTTTTTTCGTGTTTTGTCAATGGCATTTCACTCATGTTGGCCTTACGTGAGTGAGCCTTGCTTTTCCAATTTTAAAAAAAGTCAATCTTATATTACTCAAATCATACGATAAAGAAAATATGTATTAATTGAAACCATAAGTAAGTAAAAGCTTTGCATGCACTTATGCAAAGAATGTCCTAAAGGTAATTTCCTTTTTAAAGATAAGATAAGAATATTTGTTGAGGTCCCACTTCTCTGCTGGTCCACATTTCTTTAACACAATTCGTTTTAACTTTAAGTCACTGAGGTAATTCTATGTGATAGAAATAATTACTTGCATCCTTAGATACGAACGGTAGTTATATTGAAAAACATGAGTCCATCCTTCTTTTATAGATGAATCGCTAGCGTTACAGTTTCTCACGCATTGCAAAAAGAAAGATTCAAGCAAATAAACAAAGAACTTTTATATTGCTCTTTAGAAATATTAACGGAAAACTAACCTAGCGACGATATTTCTATTGCTATGACTGAAAGAATGCAGTGAAACAGAATTTTAAATTTGACTCTAAGTTATACGGAAATTACGACGGAAAATATCATAAAGGCTTTTTGAATGCGTTTGGCTAATATTCATCAAAAATTGGCATATAGCTACAGCAAACATGGAAACACATCGTCTGTACTCGGAATATACTCAAACTACCATATTTGAAAAACATGCTTTTCGTCATTTTAAAGTTGTTGTGCTTCTTACCTCAGTTTTGACTTGTCGGCTAGAACCTGCGTCAGATTTCTGCCGTTTGTCAAATTTCAGAGAAGTGGGACCTCAACAAATATTCTTATCTTATCTTTAAAAAGGAAATTACCTTTAGGACATTCTTTGCATAAGTGCATGCAAAGCTTTTACTTACTTATGGTTTCAATTAAAACATATTTTCTTTATCGTATGATTTGAGTAATATAAGATTGACTTTTTTTAAAATTGGAAAAGCAAGGCTCACTCACGTAAGGCCAACATGAGTGAAATGCCATTGACAAAACACGAAAAAAATACAATGAGGTTTCATTGCGTTACACTCTATATGACTGACTGAAATTGAAATATGCATGTTTAATTGCTTTATATAATGAGGTCAAAAAATATATCCTGAAAGATAAAGCTCGTTTAAATTACTGTCAAACTCCTACAACAAATCATTTGCAATTCCCGCCCACAACAAACAGACGTTCGTACAAACAGACGTTCGTCTTACTTCTGCGTCCGCCGTTCGCGTCCGTCGTCTGCGTCCGCCGTCCGCGTCCGTCGTCCGCGCCCGCTTTTTATCTACACCCTAGTCGCGTGCCTAATGTTCATATTATGTTCCGCTACATAAGTGCGCATAGGAAATTAACGTTAATTTATGCAACCTTGGAGCAAGTTGTGGCTACTTCGTGTATCAACTGCATCAGATGCCACAAGAAATACTACGGTTTTCGATAGACCACGGATTCGTGTTATTTACACAATTGTATCTCTGACAAAGACAATCAAAACTCAAGTATTATCTACAATATAAGTGTGTGAAAAACTGATAAATATAAATCAATAAGTCTAAATATAAGTCTATACAAACCCATTGGCAATTACAAATCATTTATAGGCTGCTGCAGAGTATTTTCGTCAAAAAACGAACCCCTTAGCCTTTAATATAATTACTTCTCACAATGAATGTCAGTTTTTCCAAACGCCATAGTTAGATACTAAGCATTGTTGAAACACATTTTATTTTCCAGGCTTAGGAACATTTTTTCTGGGAAACTTTGCACTATCCTTGGATCCCTAGTTATCTTTTGAGATTAACCTCTATTCTATTGACGCACTTTCTCTTCATTGATTATTAGCGTATTTGTTATAAAGTGTTTTTATCATACAATTTGACAACGGTTTCTATTACAAAGCCCTTTGTTCAAAAATTGGCATGCCATTGTTTCAACAAACATCTTTGCCATAGAAAATTAAATTGATCAAACAATTTCCAAAACAGTTTCTTATAAGAAAATTTTAACATAAATTAATTAAGAATGCATTTTAAACTTTTCACCTTACCGAAAAATTTTTGAAGCTTTCAGAATCAGTTACGCCGATTCGCGCACAAGGTTAGTTTGTGAATGCCTACGATTTTGAGTAGACCACAGCCGTACCCAAAATCCTCTTTATTTTCTTTGCTTATTTTCACATTTGTGTAGCAAAAGAAAAGTCGCGATAAAACACGAAAGTATACATTTGCGTATTGAAAATCAATTCCCATATTTTTGCTGTTACTGCATCAATTGCAAAACAAGCAAACAATGGCGTTGCCAGCTCCATAAGCGAAGGGGATTTTATTCATATATTTATGTTTTTCCTTATTAAGTTCTTTTGAAATCAATTGTTTCTTAGTGATTAAAACATGAATATATGAATATCGCTTATCTTTCTAGCGATACTATTGCAACCAATGAACAAAATATCCCATTGACACGAGAAAATAATCTTTGTCAAAGAAAACTTTGGCAAATAGACATTTTACTCATTTACATGGATATAGTCCTGCGGCATATAATTTTGCCAGAGAAACTTTGCTCGTGTAAATTACGCTTTACGCTGTCAGTCAGGTGAGTTTTCAACGAGTTTTTTGCGAGGAAGACGAAAGCACACCTTTATGATTATTTAATGTCGTAGCACAAAAAACGTTTTGGCTTCCATACAAAAATAGTTTTAAGACTTGTATATTTATAATTGGGCAATAAAACAAACATTGACGTTGGTATGAATAATGCACAGTCTCATTCAATAATTGTCAAATATTTCTCGCCTTTATTTTCATTGATCAATGTTTGTTTCATTGATCAATGTTTGCATCGAATTACTGACAGAAGAATTTCGATATTCATCAACACGTTTACCATTTGCTACATTATCATTCTTCAGCAATGGTTGATAACCGTCATTTTCTGTATCATGTTCATTTCCTGAAAGTTTTATCAAACATTTATATTGTTTACCTTTCTCTTCATTATTCATCAAATCACTGACAAAAGAATTTTGGTATTGATGAACACTCTCACCATTTGTTACATTACCATTCTTTAGCAGTGGTTGATAATCATTATTTTCTAAGTCATTTCTACAGCCTGGAAGTAATATCAAAGATGTATACTGTTCACCATTATCTTCATTAATCATTGAACCACGGACAGAAGAGTTTTCGCATTGATGAACACTCTGGTTCTGCGGAGACTTGTCAAAGGTTACAATAATAGGTTCCTCATATCCGGGAGGACGAGGTTCAAAGCTGATTTTCACAACATTGGAATGATTTTCGGGTTCCCATCTCGGTTCTTCATACACGTGATTCTGACTTTGTTGTGATTGAGACTGGAGCATAAATTCGTTGCCAGATACGTTTGTTGGATCATTTAAGTTGGTTTCAGAGTTGTGATCTATGACAAGAGATGGAAAAGTGCCGTTTCATTTCAATGACATTTAAATTTACATGAATACTATTTTAATATGTGGTACAATTTGTGACTTCTATAAACATAACATTTTCATAAAGCTTTTATGACATCAAAAGTAACAGTTACTATGTTGTATTTTTCAGTAACGTTTTCAACACAAAATTTAAAAGGACAAAGTAAAAGTCTTTCGATTTTTTCGTTCAACCAAAAGATTGTGTGTATGTATATAACTTGATATTATATATATTATGCATAAATAATATCGATGTTATTTGAATAACTGATGAATCCTTTTGTTGAAAAATAATTATGAATTTATTGTATAAGGAAGTTACTGTACCTTGACTTAAGATGCGATCGCGTTGGTATATGCGATCTCATTGCCAGATCTCGTCTAAATAGTCAATTAAAGTTGCAGTAAAATTGCTATGCATTGAAAACTTCCTAATGATCATCGGTGTCGAGTTTTATGCACCGTTTAAAAGGCATTTACTGCTTCAACGACAAATGTCGATTGTTTTTGCTTATTTTTACTCACCATTTTTTTGTTTTTCTTCATCCGCCATCTAAGGTGATAACACAACAAGAGAATACAAAACAGAAACAAAATTGCCGCTATTGCATAGGGAATAACAGTCTTTATAAGTTTTCCGATAAATTTGCGTGAAGAACCTGGAGAGAATAGAATATCCATGTGAGCTCATGATACTAATATAGATTGGACAAGCAGATATATTTCATTGGTTGATATGTGTTTTTTGGACTGGGAACACAATCTGATTGGTTAAAACTGTACATGTATCCTGGATTGCAGTCTACAAAAACACATGGATATTTTAAAATTGCAAATTCATGAATCATTATATGGCTGGTGTACATATACAAGGTGTAGTTGGCAAAGCATTTATGACCTTTGATATAGTCAAGATGGCTGATTGTCCCATTTTCAACTGTAAATGTACCATTGCGACAGGCAATGCATTTAATTTGACCAAAGTTAAGTTGATAAAAATTCACTGGAAAATATTCACATTGGTTGGTTTGAAGCGAGTAGAATGAACCAGCAGAACAATCTATAAAAGATTTTAAATACAAGCGACACATTAAAATGAGAAAGGAGCGCTTACGATAATAAATATTAGATTAGAAATGAATATACTTTTAGCAAAATATTTAATAACAAGTAACAGGTGAAGTAGTGAATTAAAGTATAATGACTACTTATCATCAAGAAAATAATTAACTAACTTCATAGTCATTATTTAACCTACCTTCAATGCATTGTGTCTTGTCAATAGCGCCAGTTTCTATGGTGATTTTGTTTATTCCACACTTAAAACATTTTGTTTTTCCAGTCTGTGGTTGATAACTATTTCTTTTACATTTCGTACAGTTTAAAGACGTTTTGTTAAAATAGGAACCTGCATTACAATCTAAAGTCAAAAAGAGTTTCATTAAGCCGAATTATTTTGATGTGTTTCAAAAACGTCAACTTACTTTGAATACAATCTGATTGGAAAACTGTTCCTTCCTTCTCTGTGATTGGTAGATTTATTGGACACACGTCACATGTGATCTGTCCTTTGTTCTCTTGTGTCGAATTTCGTGGACATTTTGTACAAACCACTTCAGACAAATTAAAGTAATATCCTGGACGACATTCTAAAAACAAAGTAAATTAATTATTGACGATATCAACATTAGATCCATGAAATACTGAAATAAACATACCTTCTTCACAGTGGGATATATTGACGTGAGAATCATCTTTATACGTCATTGTTGTTGTAAATTACACTCAGCATTCTTAACTACGTTGTTATGAAGTATTAACTATGTTGAAGGTTATATCGTGGGCGCATGTGTATGTTCGCACGACGTTCGTTGTGTGTTTTTCTTTTATCGTAATAAAAACTTACTTTTATGTTCAAAGTGTTTTCTCTGCTGAAATATATCGTAATACGAACAGGTTATGGGCCAGGTACCCTTGGAAATATTGTTTATTAAAGTAAGAAGTGTTTAGTGGATTAAAAACAGTTGAAATGGCGCAAGACGACAAGTTATTTATCGATAAACTTATCGGTGCAAAGAATTGGCAAGTGTCGAAATACCAAATGCAATCTATACTTGAATCGAGGGAATTGTGGAGACACGTCGATGGATCGGTGACTAACCCAGACGCTTCTGACAGCAGTTCAGGGGCAAGAATAGCCTTCTTAAAGGCACAAAAGAAAACAAAAGCCCTCCTTGTAACGAGTATCAACGGAACGCTTGATACTCGATAAATTGAAGGAACGCTTTGAAAGAAACACTGTGGCAAACAAATTGCTCTTAAAGCAGAAATTCTTTTCTATGAAAATGAGAGATTCGGATTCTTTGGTTGAACATCTACGTCACATGAAGGAAATCACAGACCAACTTGCAGCCATCAAGGCATCAATCCCTGAAGATGAGCATATTGTAGCTCTTTTACTCAGCCTTCCACGATCACACAACACTCTAATAACTGCATTGACTGCAAAGGGAGATGAGCTTAGCCTAGATCAAGTGCATCAAGCACTCATGAGTGAAGAAGAAAAGCGTAGCTTATACAAGAGCAAGGATGATTGTGGCAAAATCGATAAAGGTGAGATGGCTTTGCAGCATGATAAAAACAATCGAAGGCCCATCAAATGCTATGGACGTAGGGAAGAAAACCATGTGATGAAAAATTGTCCCAAAAAAAAGAAAGGGGAGAATAAGTATAGAAACAAGCAGGGAAATTTATCAAAGCATAAAGCAGCTTCGGTGGATAGTGATGGAAACAAAAATGAAAATTCTGGAGGTAATGTGTTTGTCTTAGGAATGACAGCAACAGAAGGAAACAATTGCTGGATAATTGATTCAGGAGCCTCGCAACATATGACAGCTGGTCGCGATATTTTGATAAATTACTGCGAGTTCCCAAAGCCAGAACCTGTTACACTTGAAGACGGTCGTTATGTAAATGCTTATGGGTATGGACAAGTTGACATCACCATGATACTTGGACGTAAACAGAAAGATGAACAGAAATCAATTTTGACAAAGGTACTGTACTTCCCAAAGATAGCTATAAATCTTTTTAGCGCACGTGCAGCAGCATCTAAAGGCAAAGTGGTTCAATTTGGACACAGTCTTTGTTGGATAAAGAAATCCAATGGACAAGCTGTAGCACGCGGTCGACTAGTTGGGAACATGTATCAACTTGATTGTAAAGTTGACAAACCGGAAAACCAAGCATCAGTTGCTAATGAAAGTGGTACTAAACTTGATCTATGACACCAAAGAATGGCACATCTAAATGTCGGTCAAATGAAAACTATGGCTTTAAAGCAACTTATCACAGGTATGGACATACCTAAATCTTGCAATTCAAGCTTTTGTGAGGCATGTGCAGAAGGAAAGGCACACCGCACACCATTTAAGACAGTGGGAGATATTCAATCAACCAAAAGATTAGAGTTGGATCATAGTGATGTTGCCGGACCTATGAAGACTGAAGCCTTGGAGGCGCAAGATAGTTTGTCACTTTCATTAATGATTACTCCAGATGTGTTACGGTATATCCAATGAAGCACAAGTCAGAAGTGCTTGGAAAATTCAAGGAGTGGGAGGCAGCAGTCACAAACCAATCAGAGTGTAGGATAAAAGCACTACGCACGGACAATTGGGGTGAATATACATCCACTGAGTTTGAAGATTTTTTAAAGGAGAGAGGAATTTGTCATGAGACAACAGTGCCACATTCACCCCAGCAGAACGGGATAGCTGAGCGCATGAATCGGACTATCCAAGAAGCAGGTCTATCTATGATTTTGCATGCTGGACTGTCCAAAGCTTTTTGGGCTGAAGCAGTATGCAATGCAGCCTACATAAGAAATCGAGTCATTACGACTGCAACTGCGGTAACTCCTTATGAAAGATGGTATGGAAAGAAGCCAAATGTGTCCCATTTTCGTGTCTTCGGCTGTACTGCTTATGCTCATGTTCCTGATGCGGTGCGCCAGATATTCGACCAAAAGGCAGTCAAGATGAGATTTGCTGGTTACAGCCTTACACAGAAAGGATACAGGCTGTATGATGAGAATCGACAAAAAGTCTTTATTCGGAGGGACGTTACATTTAATGAAACAGATTTTGGATCAACAAAAGCTCAAATAAAGTGTGGTGAAGATATTACCGAGTGTTCTAAAGAAGAAACAGAAACAAAGGGACAAGTTCGTGCAACCAGAAATGAACCAGAAGATCCCCCAAATGAGCCTCGACGCTCAGGAAGAGAGAGAAATCCACCAATATATTACCACGACGAGTATGCTGGGATCACTATATCGAGGTATGCAGCACTTTATGTATCTGAGATCACAGAGCCAGAAACCCTAAAAGATGCTCTTAATAGTGAATATGCAACGGAATGGAAAGCTGCTGCAGATGCAGAATACCAGTCTTTACTAGAGAATGAGACCTGGGAATTAGTCGAATTACCAGCTGGACGTAAGCCTATCAGTTGCAAGTGGGTCTTTAAAGTTAAATACGATGAGACAGGAAAGGTAGAGAGATTTAAAGGTCGTCTGGTGGCTAAGGGTTTTCTGCAAAAATATGGAATTGACTATGAAGAGACATTCTCTCCAGTGGTTCGTTTTTCGTCAATTCGCACTCTTCTGGCTTTTGGTGTATCTCGAGGTATGTTGATCCGTCAAATGGATGTAGTAACGGCATTCCTCAATGGAACATTAGAAGAGGAAATATACATGCAACAACCCCAAGGCTACGTAAAACCAGGAAAAGAAAAGCTAGTGTGTCGTCTCAAAAAATCGCTTTATGGTCTAAACCAAAGTCTACGTTGCTGGAATAAGGTTTTCAGAGAGTTTATGTTATCATTAGGATTTGTTCAGAGTGAAGCAGACCCTTGCGTATTTATTCGTTTTCTCAAAGATAAGCAGGCGATTGTCACTGTTCACGTTGATGACCTCATACTTCTGACTGAAACTGAAGAAGAGATGAATGATCTAAAGGCCAATTTGGCAAACCAATTCAAGATGAAAGATATGGGCGTACTCCACTACTGCCTAGGAGTTAGTATTACTATAAAGAACGGTGTGTTACAAATTAATCAAGAGCAATACATCAACTAGATCCTGAAAAAGTATAAATTACAAGACTGCAAGACAGTGTCTACGCCAATGGATGCAAGCGTCAAACTTGTTAAAGAAGATGGACACAGCAAATCAGTCGATGCCTCTCGCTATCAGTCAATGGTAGGAAGTTTGATATACGCGGCAATTGCTACCCGTCCAGATATAACTCAAGCAGTAACAACATTAGCTAAATTTAACACAGCACCGAACGAAGCACATCTTACAGCTGTGAAACGCATCTTTCGTTACTTGAAAGGAACTTGTAAACTAAGCCTGCAGTACCAAAAAATCAGTATCGATTTAGAGGGATACTCTGATGCAGACTGGGCCTCTGACACAGACGATCGACGGTCAACTTCCGGAAATGTGTTTATAATATCAGGTGGTGCAATCAGTTGGGCAAGCAAGAAACAACCAACAGTGGCTCTTTCAACGTCGGAATCGGAGTACATTGCATTATGTTATGCAACTCAAGAATTAGTATGGCTGCGACAACTGATGAAAGACCTACAAATAGATTGTACTGCGGCTACAACCATACATGAAGATAATCTAGGTACAATCGCTATCTCAAAGAATCCAGTACTACACAAGCGGACAAAGCACATTGATATTAAACACCATTTCGTGCGCGAGAAGTACTGTCCAACCAAGGAAATGAAGGCAGATATTTTTACTAAACCATTACCAAGAGAACAATTTGAATATCTGCGATGCAAACGGGGACTTGTATAAACATTATGACATATTGAGTGAGTGGGAGTGTTGTAAATTACACTCAACATTCTTAACTACGTTGTTATGAAGTATTAACCATGTTTAAGGTTATATCGTGGGCGCATGTGTACGTTCGCACGACGTTCGTTGTGTTTTTCTTTTATCGTATTAAAAAACTTACTTTTATGTTCAAAGTGTTTTCTCTACTGAAATATATCGTAATACGAACAATAATATCATCTGCTTATCTACTGAAAATGTGGATACACAGTCAATGAATACGAGTGGACGAGTATTCTGCCATTTAGTCAAACCTTTGATACAATATAACGAGTAGCTAAACAATACGGCTTTAAAATCAATGTTTTACACAATTTTACTCACCAAACATGACCCAAAACGACTATTTCTTCATTTCCACACTTATTATTTCGTTTCACAACGTAGAGTCAAGGTCTTATGTTGAAATATTTCTTCAATTTTGTCTTTAATCGTATTGTAATGTACACATTGAAATGTAAGGGATGGGCTCATCACGAGATCATTCTGATTTACTTCCTTGTTACTGGATACAGCTGAAATGTGGACAATAATCATGTTCATTGTTCATATATAGTTCTCACCAGATTTATGTTTTTGACATAGACTTTTAAAATAAATTACCAATATGATTCCGAAAAATTATTAGGATAGAAAATAGGCCAAAATTTATCCAAATATTGATACAAATCGCCATTTTTCGTCAAAGTTTGAGTTTCCAAACCAAAGATCAGCAGCTATAGTCAGACAATAGTTGTTACTACTTGAGTCAGTCATTTTCAAACGAATAAAAGGATCATGAAAAAAATACATAAATTATGTTGAATTCTTTGTGACTATAACCGTTTTGTGCTCATAAAAATTGGAAAACTGAAAACAGCAAAAGAAATGAGCAACAGACAGTTTTTTGCAACGTGACCTGCTTGTCGTAAATTTTATCAATTTATCAATAATAATATGGACGATGTAAAACTTATCAGTATAAAATAGTATACGAGAAGAAATTTTCATAAATAATAAAACAAGTGAAGTATCTTTCTCTTGCTGTGAGCACGAACATTACTAAAGAAGTAAGAGCATGGTAAAATGGGAACTATTTACGTTAAATTACGCACATGCACTTGTCATGGGAAGCTTAAAGCATTGAGTTGCTGAGGAAGACCTTCTTTCCAATCGTGGCAAAGAGAAAACTTTGTAATTTTATATTGTTGAATGTTTAGTATATATAGACGCTGCAAACGCTGTTTCTGGTTGTTTCAATACGCATTTTTTATGGTCGCATTTTATCGACGCATTTGATTAATGCATGGTAACTGGATAAGCATTTTTTGATTTTAATACTCGTGGTAATGAACCAACGTTTGTCTTTAAAAGAATCGTGATTTAGTATCCCGCACAACAGAACGCTTAGGTTGTGCGACAATGGCACTATAAATCTATAATTACCTATCAATGTTGTATAATGTATAATTGATGCATATCGTTCGTGGTTGATTTAAATATTAAAATATCGTCGTTTTGATAGGTAAACAGATTATTTGTGTTTATATGATGAAACGCAATTTGATAAACTAAGCATAAATATATATTATCGCATTGTCCAATAGATGTAGCGCTATTTCTCTTATAGCTTCGTTTCACGTTGATTTTTCTTTTCTCAGAAGTTAGAATCGTATTATATACGGCATAATATGATCTGTGTATCTGTGTATCTACTGAAAATGTGGATACAATTTTGCCTTTCTTCGTATTGTAATGTACACATCATCCAAATGTTAGGGATGGGCTAATCACGAAATCATTCTGATTCACTTCCGCACTTGTAACTGGATACAGCTGAAAAGTAGACAATAATCATGTTCATTTTCCATATATGGTTCTCACCAGATTTATATTTTTTGCAAAGACTTTACAAAATTTGAAGAGAATAAAAACCAAAAATTGTCCAAATGGAAATGGCGAAACTATTTTTCCGAAATTCCAGGGTCAAAGATCAAGAGATGTATTGATGTAATAGGTACTAAGCACCGATCGGCATAACAGAACTTCAATTTCTTATTGTCGTATTGTAAAGAATCTACAAAAATTTGACAAAACTTTTAGATTCAATACATTATTAACTTCGATAAGCTCCTTGAAAAATATGGGTATGTACCTTATACGGTTTTGATACATGGTTGGATACTCTTTTCTGTGATGATTTTTGTAAGTAATTTATAATAACTTCATAAAATAGAAAGTTTGATAAAGGCTTTAAAAATTAAATTAATGTCCTGTTTTTATAAAAGATCAACTTGTCTTCCTAGCATATTTTTTCTTATATTTATATAGCAAATAGCTCTTTCCCTTGAAAGAGACATCGTTCCTGCAAGTTCAATATAGTACGAGAATATTTTTTGTGAACCTTATGTTATATCTGGTGTAGGTGACGTAATATTAAAAATAATAAAAAATTACACAAAAAATGTAAAAAACATAGGGATACATATGTCGTTACCCTCGTTAAATTCCTCAAGGATATATCATTTCTCTCATTAAATACTTTAATAGTTTGACATTACTTTTATAAATATCTTTATAATTTGTGATTGAACGTTTACATCAGTATTTACACCGGTAAAGTAAGTACAAATAATCTTGATAATTCTGTCAATTAAACGCCTCTCTGGTTCAATGGAGTCTGGTGTATCACCAACAATATGACCATACGCAATAGGTTTCTAAGAACAAAGAATATGAAATATAGAACTTTATATAAGATGAATGCATGACCTACATAGACATATGGAGGGATAAAGGATTTTGGTGAAAAGACACATAAGACATTGGAGGATTGGAGATGAGTAAGTACTGTGGATAGATAAGAATAGCAATAATGACAAATTTTTTGAAGTATGGATCCTCTAGCTTATTCTGAAAGGAATTAGGAGGAAACTAACAAAAATGTTCTGTTGGAACTTTATTTTGTGCTATCCAATTGTGATGGCTTAGAGACAATGTCCTAACACATCAAACAAAAACAACTTACTTGTATACAGTCAAGTGCAATGGTAACAATCCTGGCACATTATGTTTGACAAACTTTTTCATTGATTAAATTTATTCCTAACAACTAAAGATGCCAAGTGTCTTTTCTGTATATTACATATTAGGGAGCTTTAGCAAGAGTACGACTACGACAACGAGTACGAAGTTTGACCGTGAAAGAGAATGGCACGAGGAAGTTTGTTGTCGTTGTCGCTTCGTCAAAATTTTGTTATAAACAACAGAACGAGCCTTTTTATTGTGAAAAACACCGAAGTTTGCGAAGCAGCTAAGGCTCTATTTGTCAATAATGATATCAACGAATCAGTAATACTGATTTTGCAAGAATATAGGACTCATTTGACTGAAAAATTTTCACTATTTTAACATTTATGAACGATATATTTGTACTATTTTATTGTTTGTTTACCGTTCACTTTGCGTACGAAATACATGAAAGTTTGCAGGTCATATTTTCATTTTAAATGTACATCTATGCTCAAAAAAGGTTCTAAATTAAAGCCTGGATGCTCGAAAATAGTACTGTAAACTAATTTCTTACAGAATGAAGAAATATACCTACTTTCTTTGCTTAAAAAGACATCGTAGTCACGACTACGAATTTTTTACAAAACATCGCACTCAGATTGATGACGGCTACGTGTTGTTAATGTCGCTACAATGTTTTCGCTCCAAAATAACGTAAATGAAACTCGTAGTCTTTGCTACAGCTCCCTATTCTGTGCTTCAGCTAAGAATTTTGTTATGGCATCAATGGGAACTCTGATATAACAACATTACAACAAAGCCATTTTGTCTCAATATTACCTACAATGACCGTAATTACAACAGACCTGTAATTCAGCCATAGTATCTTCATCTTCTCGCTTGCTGGTGCTTGGGAAAAAGACGACATTGTCGATCATTTGGATAAGTTCCAATTGAACGACACACTTAATGATCAATGAATTGAACAGCATCCTCTCCGTCTGCACAACTAAAATAAAGAGATGATTTTACGACGTTAAAGTACATACATGAAAAAATTAAAAAATGTCACTCGGGTGTTGGTTGAACATTTCCGTATTCCAGCTCAGACGATTTTTTCATTCGAACTTTTGAATATGCCAAACAAAGGGTTAATTTATCTTATATGAGGTCTTCTAAAATAAAATAAAATAAGCAACGAATGCCAAAAAATAAAACAAAAATGAGTTTCTTAAGTTAGTGCTATTTTTTATGAAAAATAAGTGTTAACAGGAGAAGTAGTAATAATTACTAATTAGTAACATTATTAGTTCTATTAGTAACAATTAGCAAAATTATTGTCTTAAACATTGCAAAAAATGTAAATTTTTAGAACATAAGCAGTTTCAGGAAATGTTACATGACGTCGCTACTCACTTCAGATTGCGTTTTTCAAATGCATATATCAACTATACGTTTTGCTACGCCTTTCCAATAAACCAAAGTAAATTAAACACGTAAATGGCAGCAGGCTGTGACAACAAATTATTAATCTCAATTGATTTCTAACACATAGTTACCTGGTTCGTGTTCTTCGACAGGTTCAAATCGTAAACTAGGCGTACTATGTAAACTAATGCTATCTTGTTCTTTTGTTTCTTCAACTGTTTCTTCAGGCATTTCCTCCTCCGTTTCATTTAAACCTTTGGACGATTGCTAACCATCTTGTTGGTCCTCGTCTAAAAAAAACACTGAAATTTTTCACTTGTTACTCAAAGAATGCAGGCTGTTGGTCCATACGAGTTAAAGATTCACAAGAGCTATATTGCAATATGCAAACTTTTGCTTCATATGAGCTTTTGGTTCAAATGAGCTTTTTTAATATGCGAGCTTTAGCTAACCATGAAATATTTTCCAATCTTGGAGACAATTGAAGCAAAAATTTTCCTTTAAAAGAATTTACAAAATTTTTGTTTACCTTCCGGATATCATCCTCCAGGTCGACAGGTGACATTATCTACAATATACGTCAAATTCAAAGGTAATAAATACATAAAACAAACAGAATAGTTATGAAAGTTTGTCTATAATTTTAGAGTGTCGGGCTTTAAAATATAAAAAATACTAAAGGGTGGATTATATGATCCCAGTAGCCGGGATTCAGCCAAGCGTTAAATCAATTTGGCAAATGGAAACTATTCAATACTTATTATAGATAAATTTTCTCAAGCAATTTCACAATATTATGATTTAATAACTACGCAAAACATTTAAAATTAAAACAACCAATTTGCCATAATTTGACAATTACAACCGAAATGACGTGTGGAGCTTCGCAAACAGTTGTAATTTTTAACCTTGAAGTTTTGGCTCTTCATTCTCTTGAAATCATCTGGTTACCTCGCTATCCGGGTCAGCTCGCCTCCATATAATCAGGCCCTAAGTGTAACTTACCTTGAGTGGTGATGACACAGTAGTGACATCGGGTGTGGGTAGACTCATAACTTCTTGGTCAGCGGGTCTCCATTTGAATAGTTCGTGAGGTACGGTTGATTCAAATATCGTCTTAACACATTGACATGTCTTTTCCCAGACGTCTTCGGAGAACGTGCTGCCATTGGATATGATGAGATTTTCCAAGCAACTGGTACCAGACCTCGCTAACTGCTCGTTATCTAAAGACATGTATTGAATGAACGAGCAAAGCAGGACATGGTGTTACAAAGCATTTACAGTCCAACCTGTAAGAAACTCTGATACTTCTTGTATACTAATGTACCTCAAAACAAACCAATAACAAACTCTCATACTTCACAAACCAATCACTAACTCTGATATTTCAAACCAATCACAAACTCTGGCACAACGAACCAATCTCCAAGGCATATGCCAAGCACAAACACGTTGCGTAATCTCAAGCTTACCTTGTTTGATACACCATTCTAGATGGCCATACATACCCTCTAGAAGAATTTCAGCAAGAATATCAAAATACTGAGTAAAAACATCGATGATAGCATATAGAGCGTGATTACAAGTTGTTGTCATCCATTCTGATTTCTATGAAAAAAACATCGCAAATTTCAAAACATTCTAAGCTGATGTCTCATTTTATAACGAGGAAATACAACACCTTATACACGGACTTTATTCTATGTAAAGGAAACGACCTTCTCGCAGTTTAACACTACTCATTTACAAATGATTTACAACATGCAATCGGTGTGTGAATAGGGAATACAGGAGGATAAGAATGGATAGAGAATAAAGTGAATACGAGTAGATATATAGAATAAAGTGACTCTATAATGAAAGTGGATAGAAGTGAATAAGAAATAGAGGAAGATATGAAATGAATCTTATTCCATGTGGAACTAGATAGTCGTGTGTGTAAGTTGACTTTTTGCGATATAATGCGTGTTTCTGGCAATCATAGACAATAAGACCTTAATAACGACATATTATAAACTACGCGTTTCGAACCGTGGTCGATTTTGGGAGAATAATGGACCGGCAAAAATGTTTCTGAGCCAATCAAAGCGCGCCATTTAGCCGGAAGTAACGCTTGCCATATAATAAGAGCAAAATAATGACAGTTTTTTAACCTCCTGCTAGTCTATCTGTCTGTCTGGTAGTTTCATGTTGTCGAAAATTCGAAACACGACTTTAAACACATCACGCCACCAATGTTGGAGAAACGTGTTCCCGTATGTTTTCATGATTTCAAACATCACGGTTTGGCCTCTAGTTGATGGATGGAAAATAGCTCACATTCAAATTATACAATACATACTATTCTATACAGTACATACAACTCAATATTTCCACCATACGTTGTTCTGACATCTAGTTTACATCGGTTGATGATACACGAAAGCTCAAAAAGGACTGGAAACCAGCCTTTCACCCAGATTCTCTCTTGCTCTGATATCCCAGCATCCTCTACTTCGTAGTCTTAAACATCTGTTTATAAAAGAAAAGAAAACAGACGCCATTGGAAAATGTTACACGAAAAAGCGATTGAAAACGATGATTTGGGTTGAATTTCATCCAAAGTGGTAAGCTTTGTTGTGATTTTACAAAATTTTAAATCATTTCAAAGGTGAAAAGAAAGTAGATTTGCAATCGTCGTACCACAGGATTTTCGGAAACAAATTTGGCAATTTCGTATCAGTCTTATTGCTTCCATACTCGTGTCCGGGAAACTTGCGTTGCATGTGAATTCCGAGAGACAATTTACGGCATCTTGGAAAGAGTCGATGGTCGCGGAGAAATATTTCTCAAAAATCGTGGCTGAAAGAGAAAATGGGGGATGTGAAATTATACACTGATAATCTTGTGGGATAAATGAATCTGTCAAAGCTTTGATTTACAAGTGCCGTGGAAACAGTAGAGAAACAGGGCTAGAAAAGTTTAAAAAACTCTGCCTTTTGACTCGTAATTTGCATCAACGAAAACATGTTTCACATTTATTTCATTTCTCCATTAACTCTCGTTTAATTTTCATTCATGCATCATGAGAAAATCCATCGACTTTATGGTAAATAAAAGTTTACCTCGAAAACTTATACGAATATGACTGAATAACCATGGAAAAGAACGAACACATAAAATTCTTGTTGCAAAATAAACGAAGTTCTCTGTCACATCCGAGAAACACATTTACTAAAACGATATTAAAATTCAATTTGAATTTAATTTAATATTTTACAGATGTCTAATTATTTTAAGCTTGGAAACGGATTCACCATCATTTCTTCAAACATATGCAACCATTTTTATTTTAAAATTTTAAAATTTGCACCGATACAAGAACCTTACCCAAGAGCACAACAGACAGGTCGGCGGTAAGATGAGAAGAAAGACCTCCTTAAACTACAAACCTCTTGTTAGAAAAGCGAATTCTACGATTCCTTCATCATGATCGGACGCAGCCAAATGAAAACGGAGAAAACATTTTTCCAACCAGATTTGATGTTTGCGGCTTGCAAATGCCCGATTTGTGTGACACATCGTACGACCATATCTCGAATTGTGGAAGAACTAAAATGTGAAAAATCCAGTTGTTGATTCAAGCAAATCGTAGACTGAAAATTGCAGTTCCTTGTTGCAAAGTTAACAAATTTCTTGCCAAGTTCATAAAGATATCGAAGAAAGAATTTTAATCAAATCCTTCCAATTATAACAGACAAAACAGAGCGATTGATGAAAGACTTCCTTTGTAAAATTCTTCGTAAAATTTCAACTTTGAAAAGAATCTGCAGTCTGCCACAAATTTTGTTTATTTGAGAGAAAGATTTTCAAGCTGCAAGAAACTTTATATTTTCTGACAGAATTGACTCCTGCATAAACTTACATGCTTTTCTTCACTATGTATTCAAAGGGTCGGAGAAAATCCTTTTGAAATCGAAAATTTGGCAATTCCCCCAATTGTCGCAAAGAGTCGACACAGAAGAGCGCAACTTCTTCATTCAAAATAACTATAGTGAAAGCCAGTCATTTATCGCAGCACGTGGTCTCATATATTTACAAGTAAAAATTGAAAGATTTAATCACAAAATCCTAGTTTAAAGATGACTTCTAATTATCTTCAAATTGCAAAATAGACCACGTAATCCTTCATAATAACCACATACACATGCAAACAAAATTTAAAACTTGTCTACTCTACTTACGAACTACGAACTATAAAACCTGGATCATGTTCCTCCATTTACCTCTTTTGCATTTGCCTCTTTTCCATATTTGTAGAATGTAGTCAGTTTTCATAGTCCAATGTAAATGTTCATACATACGTATGACGTTGTACATGTTCTTTTAATAACTTTATATCATTCCATTTATGGTGTAACCTCCATATTTAACCAATACAGTACAGATATCATGGACCGTCCTTTCTGAACATATTTGCCACTCTAAATTTAATCCCATTGGTGGCGATTGGTAAAATCGTTCACATTACAAAGGTTCTAACAAGGCCTGTTGATTTCTTCCATATATTTCTTACTTCACCAGTAAATACACAGTATCTTCGTAAAAGCGCTGTTGCTAATGCGCATTTAATATACACGACGACTTTTTTTAGAATAGACATGTTTCGACATCTCATGATGCCATCTTCAGTATGAGTGAGATAATGAATGATACATGGTTTATATACAAGTTATATGAGTGACATTCTTTCATTTCTATGTAGTGAACGTTTAATATATAATAAAAATAACGAAATTATCTAACCATACATTAGTATTAAAAAGTAAACCATCAACATTAAGTTCGTTCAGAGATCAAAAGTTTCTCACTTTTGGTAATTTTCACATGTAAAACAAGCGACCATCTTTACGACAATCATCATCTTCGCGTGATATTCTCAATTCCATCACAACTTTGACAATGTTACAGTGTTGAAATCTCCAAATATAAATTTGAAAGTTGACGGGAATCATAGGATGAAAAAGATCTTTACTTGACATTACAAAAAACTAATCTTTCTCTCTGTCCGTGATATTTTTACATAATTAAAAACTGACAGTTTTTCCACGGTTAAAACAAAGAATATGGACAATTTTTTCTGCAACAGTTTTGAGTTCGTTGTTGATACAATAAATAACTGTCCTTTTGTGATATAAAGAACTTTTATGTTCGTTTTAAGTGATATGTAATGTTAGTAAATACAATAGGCTAATAACTAAAAAGGTTGAGTTAGTGGATTTATTCAGGAACATTAAGTTTTAAAATTTAATTCCGCATCCACCATTTGTTACTAAAGCTAAAGTTCCTGTGTTGTAATGTATAGTTATATTAAATACAGAATCTAATGAGTAAAATTTAGCACATCTTTTACCACTGTTTAAATCTACAGCAAACAATGTGCCAAAAGATTCGCCAATGAAATATGATTTATGTACGAATGTGCTTGAACATAAAAATCCATCGATACTCTGCCAAATCGTACTCACATCGTTGTTTTTATGCACATTAATTACATAAATGCCAGTTTTCCGTTTGAAATTGTCGTTTTGAAAAGAGAATGCAATGACCGCTTGGTTACTATCACTTATAGAGCAACTGACTTCAAGACAAGTTAAAATTATCTGTTCTCGATCAAATTTTTCAATAAAAGACGTTATGGGTATTTCTGCAGTATGCCAAGGTTCCAAGTAAAGTTCATTGTTGGTATTTTTCCATTTCCATAATGTGTATTCTGTTTTGTTTGCAGTTAAAATAACAGAATTATCAGGTGATACAGCTGCTTTAACTTTTGAACTACGGACAAGAAGTCTTTCGTTGTACTGTATCTCACCCTTGGCAATTCTAACAACTTGAACAAAATCTTGTTCGTCAACACAAACTAAGACATCACCATATGTTAAGATTTCTTTAGGTTTAAATCCAATGTTAACATGCTTTGCTTGAGTAGAATCTAAAAAATTTTCAGACGAAGTTGATATCTTCGTAAGATGATCTGAACCATCCCATATCCACAGTAAACCATCCGACCACCAACATCCTAATGCATTCTTCAGTTTCATTGGTACAGTTTGAATAATAGTACAACGTTCAATGCTCCAAATATGAATGTTGACGTGGTCACCAACAGCGAAAGCAGCAAAAAAAGATCCATCCAGTGAAAACAACAACATTTAATTTTCAATTCCTCAGAAATAAATGAAGATTTCAAAAGATGATCAGTTTTGAAAATATTCAGCTTGGAAAAATACGGCACAACGTAAAAGTCCTTAAACGAGAGGGGATGGACTCCGTTACGATTCCTATAAATACATGGACACCTAACATTTGGTAAACAAAACTCGATTTTTCCTTGATCGTTGTATTTTGTCAACTGAGTGATTTCAGAAAGCTTTCCATTCTGGCTTGTATGATAAAAAATACAATCACGATAAAGGTGTGTTATCATTAAATGTAAAGGTTGGGAAAAAATATCGATTGCCTTTGGAAATTGAAAAACATACGAAATCTCGCCGAATTCTGCAACATAGAACTCTGAATATTTATAGGTGCATTGTAGTTTTTGGTAATCAACAACGCAGCGTCGATCGATTCTTTGCAAAGTAAATGAATTCCATGCAGTGAACACATCTTTAGAAGAAATTCCATCATATCTTGCTGTAATAAACAAACCAGAATCTGAGAAAGAGCATCGATTAACGACATCATCTGACTGTAAACATAATAACAAACGTCCATTGTTAACGTCCCACAACTTTACTTCAGTAGATCCATCACTGGTTACCAGTCTATTTCCGGTAGGTGAAAACGAGCAACAACAGATGTTTCCACCGACAAAACCTAATTCCTTTGTTAATGGATCGTAATATTTGTCATATAGGGACATAAATTTGTCTACATCATCTACTACATCATCCCATTTATCCAACCTTGAATCATCCAGTGCAGTGCCGAGGGTGCATCGTAGTTCGAATTTTGGAAGTTCATAAAAAGACATTTCACCATTTTCAAATCCTACAGCAAGAAGTTCTTCATTGGACGACACACAAAGAGATGTAACGTTAGCACGCAAGGAGACAGTCAAATGATGATGGTTTGTTAAATATGTTGAGTCTAAATCCTCAAACCAAGAAAACTTTCCTTGTTTCAATAAATCCCATGCCAATAATCTTTTTTCGTTACTGCCATCAATTCTGTTTGCAATAATTTGTAAATAACGATAGCTATCATGAAACCAATATGAGTTATATCTCCTTGTCATAAACAAATGAAATAGTTGTTCTTCAAGTACATCTTTCCTCAAGAAAGTTCGTAGTTCCTTAATGATTTCTCGCAATTCAGACCTAATGGTTTTCACCTTAATGTCTTCCACACACATTAACCTTGCATAAACCACTTTGACATCTACTGCCCAGCTAAAGTCAACATTTTCGCCACATTTTGACATATGATAGATTCCATTCTTCAAAGCATATTTAATCATAACAGTCTTCATCTGACCTTTAAAAATGTTCATCTTCTTAATTTCTTCAAACACTTTCTCACAAGCATGCCATAAGAACTTATGACCATTTTTTGGGTTAACTGTAAACTCATGCTGTTCGTAACCATCTGATTTCAACCAATCAATTAGAGATTTGTGATATACGGTTAAACAATCATCGTAAACTGGCAAAATTTGAGATAACAGTTCGATGATGTCACCAGAAAAACCTAAATGGCTAAAAAGTAAAGTTAATGGTAAAACCTCCCGACAGGCAGCCAACAATTCAAGAAATTGCTTAAAGATAACTTCGGAAATAACTAAATTTCCGGTTGAAAGACTTTTCTCTGTCAGCATTTTTTTTACTGTTTCGAATTGATTTGTGTAAACACCGCTTAACCCACTAGGGACCAACTGTTGAATGTTTTCGTAAGTAAGCTCAGTATTTTCTTCTTTCAAGCTCCGTTGTGCGTAATACGCATAAAGAAATGATCCTCACATTTTCAAGTAATGACGATAGAACGTAGCAATTTCTCTGCACACGATCATTCAACTGATGTCTCAAAATAGGCCCTTCAATTTTTTAAGTATTGACAAGGAAGCACCATCACTATTTTTTTCGGCCGGAAGACTCAACTGATGTCTCAAATAATTGGACAGGTCTTCTTCGTTGTTTTCATCACGAGGATTAGTTGTAATTTCCACAGGTTTCATGTCTTTCAACTTCTTTTGAACTGAAAGTTCTGGACGACTTGTGATGAAGATTTTAATCCATTTAGGCAGTCGTTTGAACTCTACTGCAATCAATTCCAACAATTCACTTTTGCCATCAACTTGGCTTTCATCTAAGGCATCAATAACCAAAAGCATTGGTTTATGATCTTTTAATGAATGCAATGGATTATTTAATAAAACAAGGAATTTATCGGTGATGGATTCTTTGGAATTGTTTCTCGGTAATTCTTCATTTAGTTTAGATTTAAAATTTGATATTGTATCACACATGCTACTAGCCAATGATTCTATCAACATTCGAGGATTTCTATAATCTGATCTATTATATCTGCAGAAATGAGAAGCAGCAAGTTTCTTCTTTTCAAAATATCGTCTACACACCTCAGCAGCAAACACACTTTTACCAACACCAGGACCGGCAATCAAAATCATGACATTGGAAGCATCTTCACTTGTATCGTTAAACCAAGTGTCGAGTTTTTCAAATAACCATTGTCTAGTGCCTTCAAGGTATTTCTTGTTAAGCTCTTCTATAAGACCTTTGAAATTACACTTCGCAAGATTCGAACATGTTTTTCCCGCAACATTTCTCTGGCTTCTATTAAATCCGATTTGATTGCCATATCTTGTTTCATTTCTGCTACATCAGCTTTTGTTGACACAACTTCTTTAATTTCCTCCACGTCAATTTTATATCTTCCACATCTTCTTTTGTTTTCTCAGCAACAGTACACCAGTTTTTAACATTTCAAGATAATTCGCTTCATCGTGACTGAGGGAGCTTTCTTTAATTCATCGATTTCAGTTTGTTGAATACCCAAACCAACCAATGCTTTTGAGATTTCATTCCACAAATGCTCAAACGTACTGTCATTTACACTAGTTGTAGTTATGTGACCGTACACTTTGTTTCGATAAAACTTTATTCTTGCAATGTTTGCTGAGATTGAAGCATCTGAAGAGGAAGGAAGATTATCCCATCCACCGTGTGGCGCTGTTAGACCACATATGTTACGCAATAAGACAGTCAATAATGAAATATCAAAGTTGCTAATTTCGGGTGTACCAATAGAAGGGTAAAGAAGGTCCCATTGCTTTTTGTTGACAACTTTGTTCTTTTTTAATGATTCCAATTTCTTTCGGTTAAAAGCATCATTAAGTTTGTCTTTTAAGTTTGATGATTGAAGGTTTATAATGAATTGCAATGTTGTTTTTAAGGCTTGGGTTCCTTTATTGATTAAAAGTTTATTCAAACGAGATCCATTTTCCTCATGCTTTAAGTTTTTAGGTGGCAAAGCCATATTTTATTCTAGAAATGACGAATGAATTTGTGAGCAAAAGGTATAATTTAAAATATACAAAATATTCACAAAAGTAAAAGGATAAATTAAAAATAGTACTAAAAGTCATTTATAAAGACTTGTGTGCTTTATTTCTTTCTCTCGATAAAAATTGTGTTCACTGCCTAGTGACATGACCCAGTAATTGATCTTACATCAAGGCGTTAAAATAGTAAACTTGATACAATGAAAAAGTACTTAAAATGAGAACATTTTTGCCAACTCGGCGCGAGAGGCAGCAACTACCTTGCGATAGTAACTCCTTGTTAATACATAATATATCTTATTTGTCTAATAATCGTGTGGTGAAGAGATACGTCGTTCTTTTAACAGGATATATCAAACTGGTTTGCTGTGTTCTATGAATATTTACTTATTAACATTTTGATAGGACTATATTGCTGATGATTTTGTTCCAATTTAAAATTTGGCTAGACTTCAGTTTAGCGGACACCCGAAACGCTTATGACCGCGGGCTCGTTTTTTGCTTGGGATTATAGGGTAGGGTTTGGGTCAGCGTCCAAGGTGTCCGCTAAACTGCAGTAGTCCCCCATAGGACCATAGCTTGACTCTAACCATATATTTAAACTCTTTGTCATTTTTGACAATCTGTTAAATTCAAATTGTTAGCACTACTAATTGAAATGAAAATAAAGAAAACTATCTTCTATCTGCTTCACATTTTCCTCACTAAAACACAGAACACAGGGTGACAGATACACAACGCGACATATGAATAAAATACCGAACAAAGTACAGTACGGACTGCACAGAGTTCCTTGTATTTTTTGCTCAAACGAGATATATTTCACGTCTGTAATCACCAGTAAAGCGTATAAATAAATGATATTTTCAGCTTCAAGATTATGACTATAGTCACTAAAACAAAGTGCAGATTATACGCTCTAAATCATAGGTAATTGAAGAACAACATAAGTATTGTCTACAAGTACGGACTGCACAGAGTATCAAGTGCCTTGTATTTTTTTGTCCAAACGAGATTAATTAGACATCTGTAATCACCAGTAACGTGTATAACTGAATTATATTTTCAGCTGCAAGGTTTTGACTATAGTCACTAAAACAAAGTGCAGATTATACGCTCTAAAGCATAAGTAATTAAAGAACAACATAAATATTGACTTTACTTAAAACAATTCTATTCGTGATCGTTCGCATATGCGACTATCACCGATGACACAGCCGAGGATATCACGACGAACAAACACTGCCTGCCTCACTCAGACACTTTTTCAGTATGGCATAGTGGTTAGCCGCGCATGCACAGTGGCTACCCACAAAAACTAACTAGTGATAAATTATATTACTGTTATAATACAGTATAAATTGACGTCTACAACTGCTTCCCCCCCCCCAAAAAAAATGTTGCTCCCCCAATATTAACATTCTAGCCACATGCCTGCTCATATTGATAACACATAAAGCGTGATTCCGTTTGAAGATGCCACGACAATTTCTAAAAACTTAACAATTGATGAAAATTTTCTACATGATGAGATAACGTAAGAAAAGTACAAAAAATACACAAATCATTAAATACTTTTTCTATAAACTTAAATTTTATAATTTTCATGTGTCCAAAAGGAAAGGCGCCGGCCCCTATTATATTACAGGCCCAAGGCAAAATGCTCCCTTGCCTATCACCTCACGGCGGGCCTGGCCTGACAGTCAGTGAAATTTCTCGACTTTGTGTTGTTACACGATTTAATTCAAGTAACTAAAACAGTTAGACACGTTGCAAAACAAAACAAGTATCTTGATTTCAGTTTCTCAGTGTACATGCTATATCAAAGTTCATCTAAGAATAAATTACGTGCAAATTGAATGATGATGAAATATGAACGTTATCTGACGTTCATTTTGACCACTTGAACATAATCTTTACTATATATTTATACATTGTATTGTTTACTAAAGCGTAATTATATT